TTGAAGTTATGAAAACCTTGAAAGAAAACTATAAACATTTAGGATTGAAATTTTCTATTTCCGCCAATAAAAATGCTTTTAAATTAATTAGAAGATGTAATAATCGTTCTAATACACAACATATATAGAAACATCTCGATTTTAACTTAATAATTTATAAGATAAAATTGGAGAAATGTCAAAATTGTTCGTATCGAAACTAGCGCCATCTATGAAGAAATCGACAAACTTTACTGGGTGATTATTTAATCGTTTATAGGAAAAAAATAAATAAAATGAATCAAAAATTATTAAGTTATATATAAAATAACCGTTAAAGGTTAAATTTCATTAAAAACTTAAATAATGTTATCGTAAAAACTTACTTGGTGTTGAGGTTATGACAACCTTGAAAGAAAACTATAAACATTCCGGGTTGAAATCTTCTATTTCCGCCAATAGAAAATGTTATTAAATCAATTAGGAGATATAATAATCGTTCTAATACACAACATATGTAGAAACAGTTCGATTTTAATTTAATAATTTAAAAAATAAAGTTGGAATAATAAAATTGGAGAAACGTCAAAGTTGTTTGTATCGAGACTAGCGCCATCTATGAAGGAATAGATGAACTTTCTTGAATCAGATTAATTAATTAATTTCTAACTTTGTATAAACTTTAAAGTTTTTTAAATAAGCTAATTTAAAATTTAACAAACATTAAATAGACTTACCTCTGCATCTTTACTTTTTCTTGGTTACTTCCCTTTCATCGACTCGTTACTCGGAAATCTTCCCTTATTTTTCCCTAATAATAAAAATAAAATAAAATTAAAACAAAATAGGATATAAATTAAATTAAGGTTATAACAATAAAAACGACCAGCACATTAACTTCGTATCATTTTAATTTTAAAACTTATAAAATAAATCGAGCAAATACTGCAACATCGCCACCAACTGCATCATTAAATGCAAAATAAACGTCCCTATCTTAACAATATGTAAAACGACCGGAAGCATTCGAACACCCAGCGCTATCTTGCGGACGATTTCGAGAACATTCGAATTTTTTTTTCTCCCATCGCAAAATAATTATCATAAGCTATGCCAAACATTTCGATTAACGGCCCCAATTTTTTCATCGCCATTGATACATCATCTTTGATTTCACGTTTAAATAATCCGTTCCGTTCATTTTTATGATTTAAATTTAAATCGTTCTGATCCAACTCGATCCCTTCCTGGAATTTCCGGATGTAATGGTCGAAGTACTCGCTCAATAAATCGTCACAATTTCCGGTTAAATGGCACAAAACGTACGCGAAATACGGTTGGTATAGGAAAAGTAACAAAATGAGTCCTATTGTGATCACAGCGGATGTTATTAAGGTTAAAGTGAGAGGGAATTTTTTTGATGATTCTAATGATGTTGAATTGGGCGAATTTGACGATTTCATTAATTCGGCGTCGATAAGAATTGATTTGATTAAGATGATGAGGACGATTTGGGTTAAGAAAGTGAGTTTCATTCTAAAAAAATTCGGTTAATATTGATTTTGTTGGTTTTTACTTACTAAGGTGTTACTTGGTTGGAAGTTTTCGCTTAACTAAGATAATTTTGGGGGGTTTGGGTCAAAACTTTTTACCTGGAGTTCGAATTCTTGGAAGTTTTTACAAATCAAGTTAAAATAAGTGTTATTTCAAACCAAAAAGAATTTATCCCTGAGCGATTCGAAAAAAATAATAAAATTATTGCTAATAAATGTTAGCTTTCTAAATTTAATAAAAAAGTTAAATAATTAGACTTTATCTTAAAAACTTACTTAGGTTGAGGTTATGAAAATCTTAAAAGATAAATGTAAACATTTTGGGTTGAAACCTTCCATTTCCGTCCATAAAAAATGTTTTTATATCAATTAGGAGACATAATAAACGCACTAGTACGCAATGTATATAAAAACATCGCGATTTTAACTTAATAATTACAAAATAAAGTTGCAATTATGAAATTGAAGAAACGTCAAAATTGTTTGTATCGAAACTAGCGCCATCTATAAAGAAATCGATACACTTCAATGAGTGATCATGAAAAATATCAACCTGCTTCCGTTTTCAAAAATTATTATTATATCAATTAGGAGATTTAATAATCGTACTAGTACGCAATATATATAGAAATATCCCGATTTTAATTAAATAATTAATAATAAGATAATTACAGAAACGTCAAAATTGTTTGTATCGAAACTAGCGCCATCTATGAAGAAATCGATAAACTTTATTGATTGATTATTTAAAATTTTATGTGAAAAATTAATAAAATTAATCAAAAGTAATTACATTATTGCTAAGAAAACGTTAACTTGATAAATTTAATTAAAAAGGTGAATAATTAGAGTTGTCTTAAAAACTTACTTGGTATTGAGGTTATGAAAACCTTCATAGAAAAATGTAATCATTTCGGGTTGAAATCTTCTACTTCCGAACATAAAAATTGTATTTATATCAATTAGGACACATAATAAACACACAAGTACGCAATGTATATAGAAATATCGCGATTTTAACTTAATAATTGCAAAATAAAGTTGGAACTGTAAAATTGAAGAAACGTCAAAATTGTTTGTATCGAAACTAGCGCCATCTATGAAGGAATCGACAAACTTTATTGAGTGATTATTTAATCTTTTATACGAAAAAAATAAATAAAATAAATCAAAAATGATTAAACTATATATAAAATAGCCGTTAACGTTTAAATTTCTTTAAAAAGATAAATAATGTTATCGTAAAAACTTACCCAACCCAACCTCAGCACCAGGTTATGAAAACCTTCAAAGAAAACTATAAACATTTCGGGTTGAAATCTTCTATTTCCGCCAATAAGAAATGTTTTTAAATCAACTAGGAGATATAATAATCGTTCTAATACACAACATATATAAAAACATCCCGATTTTAAGTTAATACGTGTAAAATAAAGTTGGAATAGTAAAATTGGAGAAACGTCAAAATTTTTCGTATCAAAACTAGTGCCATCTATGAAGAAATCGACAAACTTTATTGGGTGATTACTTATTCTTTTATACGAAAAAAATAAATAAAATGAATCAAAAACGATTAAATTACATATAAAATAACCGTTAAAGTTTAAATTTCATTAAAAAGTTAAATAATGTTATCGTAAAAACTTACTTGTTGTTGAGGTTAGGAAAACCTTGAAAAATAAATGTAAACATTTCGGGTTGAAATCTTCTACTTTCGAACATAAAAATTGTTTTTATATCAATTAGGACACATAATAAACACAGAAGTACGCAGTGTATATAGAAATATCGCGATTTTAACTTAATAATTGCAAAATAAAGTTGGAACTGTAAAATTGAAGAAACGTCAAAATTGTTTGTATCGAAACTAGCGCCATCTATGAAGGAATCGACAAACTTTATTGAGTGATTATTTAATCTTTTATACGAAAAAAATAAATAAAATAAATCAAAAATGATTAAACTATATATAAAATAGCCGTTAACGTTTAAATTTCTTTAAAAAGATAAATAATGTTATCGTAAAAACTTACCCAACCCAACCTCAGCACCAGGTTATGAAAACCTTCAAAGAAAACTATAAACATTTCGGGTTGAAATCTTCTATTTCCGCCAATAAGAAATGTTTTTAAATCAACTAGGAGATATAATAATCGTTCTAATACACAACATATATAAAAACATCCCGATTTTAAGTTAATACGTGTAAAATAAAGTTGGAATAGTAAAATTGGAGAAACGTCAAAATTTTTCGTATCAAAACTAGTGCCATCTATGAAGAAATCGACAAACTTTATTGGGTGATTACTTATTCTTTTATACGAAAAAAATAAATAAAATGAATCAAAAACGATTAAATTACATATAAAATAACCGTTAAAGTTTAAATTTCATTAAAAAGTTAAATAATGTTATCGTAAAAACTTACTTGTTGTTGAGGTTAGGAAAACCTTGAAAAATAAATGTAAACATTTCGGGTTGAAATCTTCTACTTTCGAACATAAAAATTGTTTTTATATCAATTAGGACACATAATAAACACAGAAGTACGCAGTGTATATAGAAATATCGCGATTTTAACTTAATAATTACAAAATAAAGTTACAATTATAAAATTGAAGAAACGTCAAAATTGTTTGTATCGAAACTAGCGCCATCTATGAAGGAATCGACAAACTTTATTGGATGATTATTTAATCTTTTATACGAAAAAAATAAATAAAATGAATCAAGAATGATTAAACTATATATAAAATAACCGTTAACGTTTAAATTTCATTAAAAAGATAAATAATGTTATCGTAAAAACTTACCCAACCCAACCTCAACACCAGGTTATGAAAACCTTGAAAGAAAACTATAAAGATTTCGGGTTGAAATTGTCTATTGCCGCCAATAAAAAATGTTTTTAAATCAACTAGGAGATATAATAATCGTTCTAATACACAACATATATAGAAACATCCCGATTTTAAGTTAATAAGTGTAAAATAAAGTTGGAATAGTAAAATTGGAGAAACGTCAAAATTGTTCGTATCAAAACTAGTGCCATCTATGAAGAAATCGACAAACTTTATTGGGTTATTTAATATTTTATACGAAAAAAATAAATAAAATGATTCAAAAACGATTAAATTATATATAAAATAACCGTTAAAGTTTAAATTTCATTAAAAACTTAAATAATGTTATCGTAAAAACTTACTTGGTGTTGAGGTTATGAAAACCTTGAAAAATAAATGTAAACATTTCGGGTTTAAATCTTCTACTGTCGAACATAAAAATTGTTTTAATATCAATTAGGACACATAATAAACACAGAAGTACGCAGTGTATATAGAAATATGGCAATTTTAACTTAATAATTACAAAATAAAGTTGCAATTATAAAATTGAAGAAACGTCAAAATTATTTGTATCGAAACTAGCGCCATCTATAAAGAAATCGATACACTTTATTGAGTGACCATGAAAAATATAAACATTTCGGGGTAAAACCTACTTCCGTTTTCAAAAATTATTACTATATCAATTAGGAGATATAATAATCTTGATTTAGCTTAATAATTACAAAATAATGTTGCAATAATAAAATTGGAGAAACGTCAAAATTGTTTGTATCAAAACTAGCGCCATCTATAAAGAAATCGATAAACTTTATTGACTGATTATTTAAAACGCCTTTAAAAAATGTTTTTGAATCAATTAGAAGTTATAATAATCGTTTTAATACACAATATTAATAGAAATATCTCGATTTTATCTTAATAATAATAAAATAAAGTTTTATTATAGAAACGTCAAAATTATTTGTATTCAAACTAGCGCCATCTACATATACAAAAATAGCTAAAAATATTTATTATTAAATTATTAACATTAAACGTAAATACGACGGTTTTAAGCGACTTTGAAACGTTTTATTCCTGCGCTGAACCGTGAAGATATTGATAAGTCGCCTTAAAAATATTTGGGGGGCAAAGAGCCATGTTGTTATTTTCGCTTTTTGTTAATGCAAAAATCTCATTAAATATCCTATTATTTAGGATTTTTCCCTACAATCAGTGTATTTCTCTTAAACAAATAGTTACCTTAACATCTTCATCCATTTCTTTTATCTAAAACAANTTCGTGAAGGTCTACGGGAGAGAATTTAGGGGCTCCTGTCGGAGATGAAGGGATCGTTGGGGGGCCCAGAACGCCGCAGCAAGTGGCCGCCCAAAAACGGTTGCAACAAACCCAGGCGCAAGTTGATGAAGTCGTCGATATTATGAAGACGAACGTTGAGAAGGTTTTGGAGAGAGACCAGAAGCTATCGGAGTTGGATGACAGAGCTGGTAAGGAAATCTATAAATTAAAAAAAAATTATTTTAGGTTTTGAAAATTTTCAAAAAAAAAGCCACTTTAGATTTAAATCGCTTTCTAAATGATTAGGGTCGCTTAATCGTGGTTCTAGTACACAATTACGATAAAAATATCCCAATTTTTAATTAAAATTGATAAAATAAAGTTAATAATAAAATTGGAAATGTCAAAATTGTTTGTATCGAAAGTAGTGCCATCTATGGTGAAATCGATCAATTTTATTGAGTGGTTCAATTAATGTTAAAAAAACTTTTAAGATTAACTTAGGAATTAAACTTTATATTAAAAACTTACTTGGTTTTAGGGTTATGACAACCTTGAAAGAAAATTTTAACTTTTCGGGTTGAAATCTTCTATTTCCGCCTATAAAATATGTTTTTAAATCAATTGGAGAAACGTCAAAATTGTTTGTATCGAATCTAGCGCCATCTGTGAAGAAATTGATAAAATTTATTGAGTGATTATTATAAAATGAATTAAAAGTAATTAAATTATTGTTAAGGAAACGTTAACTTTTTATATTTAATAAAAAAGTTAAATAACTAGACTTTATCTTAAAAACTTACTTGGTGTTGAGGTTATGAAAATCTTGAAAGATACATTTCGGGTTGACACCTTCAATTTCCGCTATCAAAAACAATTTTTATATCAATTAGGAGACATAATAAACGCACCACTCCGCAATGTATATATAAACATGGCGATTTTAACTTAATAATCACAAAATAAAGTTGCAATTATGAAAATGAAGAAACGTCAAAATTGTTTGTATCGAAACTATCGCCATCTATAAGGAAATCGATACACTTTATTGAGAGATCTTGAAAAATATAAACCTACTTCCGTTTTCAAAAATTATTACTATATTAATTAGGATATTTAACAATCGTACTAGTACACAATATATATAGAAATATCCCGATTTTAATTAAATAATTAATAACAAGGTAATTACAGAAATGTCAAAATTGTTTGTATCGAAACTAGCGCCATCTATGTAGTAATCGATAAACTTTATTGATTGATTATTTAATATTTTATGTGAAAAATTAATAAAATTAATCAAAAGTTACTAATTATTGCTAAGAAAGCGTTAAATTTTTAAATTTAATTAAAAAGTTAAATAATTAGATTTTATCTTAAAAACTTACTTGGTGTTGAGGTTATTATGAAAAATGTAAGCATTTCGGGTTGAAACGCTCCATTTCCGCTATGAAAAACTACTTTTATATCAATTAGGAGACATAATAAACACACAAGTTCGCAATGTATATAGAAATATCGCGGTCTTAACTTAATAATTACAAAATAAGTTGCAATCATAAAATTAAAGAAACGTCAAGATTGTTTGTATCGAAACTAGCGCCATCTATAAAGAAATCGATACACTTTATTCAGTGATCATGAAAAATATAAAAATTTCGGGCTGCTATAATATTCTTCTCTATAATAGATTCAGATATATCTTGATTTAGCTTAATAATTATAAAATAATTTTGCAATAATAAAATTGGAGAAACGTCAAAAGTGTTTGTATCGAAACTAGAGCCATCTATGATGAAATCGATAAACTTTATTGATTGATTATTTAAAATCTTCTACTTACGCCCATAAAAAATATTGTTAAATCAATTAGGAGTTATAATAATCGTTCTAATACACAACATTAATAGAAATATCTCGGTTTTAGCTTAATATTTATGAAATAAAGTTTTATTATAGAAACGTCAAAATTATTTGTATTGAAACTAACGCCATCTATATATAGAAAAATAGCCAAACACATTTATCATTAAACTTAATTTAATTATTTTTCAATTTTCTTTCAGATGCTTTGCAACAAGGAGCTTCACAATTTGAGCAACAAGCCGGAAAATTGAAAAGAAAGTTTTGGTTGCAAAACTTAAAGGTAAATCAAACAAATCAGCAAAACAAATTTTTTAATTTATTCTTTTTAGATGATGATAATCATGGGAGTTATCGGCCTGGTGATTCTTGTCATTATAATCAGTAAGTATACATTAACCTTAACTTTTTGAGTAACAATACATGATTCTTGAGAGTCATTTAATCCATCCAAGTTATTACAGAGTGCAAAGAAATAATGAATTTCTTATAAACAAAGTATTTTTTTTATAGCAAATTTCGTGTAAAATCATCATCGAAAATGTAATAAAGCGTTAGGTAAATAGAAACCCCCTAAAAAGTGGTCGTCGTGGTGATGTGAAAGTCTTTAGAACCCCCATAAAATGGAAATTATTGTTTTTGTTTAATTTTTGTTTGTATTTCTAAGCATGTGCAGAAAAAAATGTTGTGTTCGTTCGTTTTAGAGGTTGAAATTGAAACAATCGGTGTTTTAATTGTTGTTTATTTTTTTTTTCAGTGAAATTTATGCCAGAAAATAACCCACCGCCTGTACAATACGCGCCGCCCCCGCAAATGCAATATCCGCCACAGCAGGCGCCGGCAGCTACGCCACCCCCGGCCACCAGCGGCTAAACGAGATTACACCCACTCGGAAAACCTAATTAAATTAAAAAAAAATTAAAAATAAATCTACACGCCACCATCAACACCAAAAAATAAAAACTTTTCTCGTCTTACAACTTGTAAGTTGCAAATCAAGTAAGCAAGAAAAGAACAATTAACAAAAGAATTAAATAAGGCGGAGCTCGTTTTTCTTTTTTGTTTAAAAAAATACAACACGTTTTGACATGCTACGATTTAACTGTGGTTATTTAAACAAAAAATTAATACTAAGAAAGTAACTAAACTATTTATATTATTAATCTAACCAAAAAAATGCATCTTTTTGGTTTATTGGTAAAAAATCGGAAAAAAGGATTAAAAAATGGGTTGATATAAATAATGTAACAAAAAGAGTGAGAAAATGGAAAAGGGAAGTAATAAATATGTTGTAGATTTCTTCTTGGATATAGAAAAGAAAGAAAATGTTTTTGCGATTATTTTGGTTTCCGCGTAAAAATTACTAAGAAAAAACTGTATAAAGTACGTTATAATTGTATTATTGATTAATTAATTAATTAATTATGTAAGGTTAAGATCTCTATTGTCACTATTTATTGAATAAATAGTAGTATTGAAATGACGTTTTAATATCACCTTCAAATTTAAATTGACGTTTCGTTACCAGCGCCATCTAATGGAGATTTAAAAAAAAATAAATCCCATCATTAATTATCATAAATTGTTCACGTTAATTTTCAATCAATTTTTAACAAATTTAATAAGCTTGAAATCTTGGTAAAAAATGCTCCCGATTTATTAACAATAATAATTAATAATAATTATTAATTTCATGTTTCATGGTAAGATGGTTCTACTTTACCGACATATTTACGTTTGAACTGTCATTGTCAAAATGTTAAAGTTGGGTTGAAAAAGAATTCATTATTTTTATAACTTTATCAATTTTAACGCAGTTATAACTTATTTTAAGGTAACGATTAATATTAATGAAGAGAACTCAAAAAAATGTTGAGATTAGCTTTGTTGTTTTAGGATTTTTTTATAATCAAAGCTGAGAAATGGTGAATTATAAAAATCAATGGGTAAAGTATCCTTTTTCTCAATTAAATGTAAATAAAAATCGTTTCTTTGAAGTTTGCTAAATTCGGCCACGATTGCGACATAAAATTGGCCAAAGAAGAACAATTACCGATGTTTCGAATGGATGGAAGTATATTGTTACAAATAAAGAATCGTATTATTCGTTCGATGATGGCCTCGGAGGTAAATTTACGAGGAAATCGAATTTTGCGGAGCCAAAAAGCCGTCCATGAGGAGCATATCAAGCAAATGAAATATCCTTATATCATTCATCCGTTTAGTACGGTGAGGTAAAATATTACATTTATTTTTATTATTACTCCTCGATTTAGATTTAAATCTTTGACGCATGGCATAACCTCAAAAATTTCTAGTTTTAGTTTTATTTTTAATGCAAAATGAATTCAAATAACTTTTTTTTTATTAAAACCTCAAAATACCATGTCATTTGAAAGTGAGGTTAGGTTGTGTTATTAACCTGATGTCAATGATTATTGATAAATCACCATGGCAACCGCAGGGTTGAAAACTTTTAAACAGAAAATTATTTTAATCAAAATTTTTAGACTTTTTTGTAGATGTAATAAGAAATAAAATTAAAACTAGGAATTTTGAGGTTATGTCGTGCGTCTTTGACAAAGTCTTTGTGCAAAATGAGTTTTTAACGTTAAAATACAATGTCATTTGAAAGTGAGGTTAGGTTGTGTTATTAAACTGAGGTTAGGAAATTTCAACATCATTTTCGAGTAACAACACGGCCGTTTTCGAAGACATCGGCCGCCCCCGGCCATCCCGAACGCCACAACATTAAGAACCTTGAGGTCTTGGAGGCGAAGTTCATTTTTTGTTACAAAGTACTCCTCGATCAAGGTTTATAGAACATAAGGTTACCTCATTCCCTATGCCTCTGTAGTATCGATTATTACCCCGCAAATTGACGTCACTGGTTCGATACAGTCAGAATAAAAGATAGATACGTGCCAACGTGCCTATACTGTGGTACAGTCTATATAAAATATTTAAACCTCGCATCGTGTTGTCCTTCTTTATAGATATATCTATAAACAAGGGCGTTGTGTTGTTCATAGAACCAGCTACGTCACTGACCCACCTTGCCTCTCAGAGGAGGAGAATCGGTATTGGGTAACCTTATGTTCTATAGACCTTGCTCCTCGATTTAGTTTTAATTCTTTGACGCACGGCATAACCTCAAAATTTTCAGTTTTATTCATTAAAAAAATGGAATGTACTTACTCTGCCTTAAAAATTGCGTTTCTGCTTCATTTAATGCGAACATTGTTTAATATAATTATTATAAAACGTTCTTTTGATGCAACAAGTGATTTTTTTAAAGATGTCCGTGCTTATTGATAAATCACCATGGTAACGGCAGGGTTGAAAACTTCTAAACACAAAATTGTTTTAATCACAAAATTTTTAGACTTTTCTGTAGGTGTAATAAGAAATAAAACTAAAACTAGGAATTTTCGGCATAACCCCAAAATTCCTAGTTTTAGTTTTATTTCTAACGCAAAATGAGTTTTTAACGTTAAAATACAATGTCATTTGAAAGTGAGGTTAGGTTGTGTTATTAAAGTGAGGTTAGGAATCTTCAACATCATTTTCGAGTATTAACACGGCCGTTTTCGAAGACATCGGCCATCCTAGAGGCCACAACATTAAGAACCTTGAGTTTTTGGAGGCGACCGACGTCTTCGAAGTCGGCCGAGTTCACTTTTTGTTACAAAGTACTCCTCGATTTAGGTTTAATTCTTTGACGCACGACATAACCTCAAAATTTTTAGTTTTATTCCTTATTCATTAAAAAATTGATTGTATGTACTTACTCTGCCTTAAAAATTGTCCTTCATTTAATGCGAAATTGTTTAATATAACCCTGATAATTTTGATAAAACTTTCTCTTGATGCAACATGTGGTTTTTATTTAAAGATGTCGGTGCTTATTGATAAATCACCATGGTAACGGCAAGGTTGTAAACTTTTAAACACAAAATTATTTTAATCACAAAATTTTCAGACTTTTTTGTAGATGTAATAAGAAATAAAACTAAAACTAGAAATTTTTGAGTAAAATACGGGTAAACCCAAAATGAGTTGAATTAAATGAAACGTCAAAAATGTCACTTGAAAAGGACGCAGATAGATGGCGCTATCTTCTCATCATCTAATACGTCAAATATTTTGAGTTAATTTAAAACCGCATTTTTATGATATTAATA